CTAATTAGATTAAATAAGTTTATTTTACTTGTGCTTAATTTGTAAGAAACTTACCAATGGTTTAAAAACTCATCATTCAATAGGAAATGATGAATTAAAAAAGTTTTTTATTAATATTAGTATTAAATTGGATTGGTTATTAAAGTAATAAAAACCTTTATTTTTGTTTTGGTTTAATATCCCTGTTTTTACAGGGATATTAATACAATTATTGATGATTTTCCTTTTTTAGCTTGTGTATTGTTTATACACATATTATAAACTCTAAAAAAACGGAAATTTATTTAATAAACTCGAGATTTCCCGATTTTTAGACCAGTTGAATTATGTTCAATGTTATTTAAAGTGTTAAGGTAATAAAAACCTTTGTTTGGTCTATTAATGACTATTTCAATAAGAAAAAATTAATTTGTTCTTATCAAACAACAAAATTTTAAAATATGTTTTTACAACTTTAGTTTAGGGATTGTAATACAAAATGTACTTTTTTTTAAAAATAATTTGACCACTTTGAATAATTTAATGAATATTCTATTATATAAATAGATTTTGTTTTAATTAAACAATAAAATAATAATAAAACAATTAATAATTGTCTTATTTTTGAAATATATTCTATTTCAAAAATAGAACAAATGATCTTTTTTATTATTTTTTTTAATAATAATAACAATAATTACAAAGGCACTTTGTTTATGTATTTTTGAGAATGATTGTTGATCAAAAAAATTTCAAACAACAAAAGTGGTTATTATTAAATAATAACAATTGTTTTCTTATATCAATATCTAAAAAAAACATTTCAAATGGTATAAAGGGTTAATCGAATTTTTGGATGTTTTACAATTTAATTATAAATCAATTAACAACTGATACATAACAAATTATAATTGGAAATACTAAATACATAAGGCCCCGTAGCACAGTCGGTAGTGCATCGTACTTATAGAATAGAGTTATGCGAGGGTCGTGGGTTCGATCCCCGCCGGGACCATTTTATTTTTTTAATAAATAATGTTAATTAATAAAAAGTATTGTTGATAAATAGACACAATATATTAACCTTAGCAAGTCAACTGAATCAACTTTTTTTGTGGGAAGGTGAAATCTGGATAAGTTTTATCTAGATCATAATTTATTTTTAGAATAATTAAAAATAAATTCAAAACACGAAATCGATTAGTTTTCGCGCAAACTACTGGTCTTTACAGACCCAATGTTTCCTATTTTCCATGTGTTCAAAATAGTCAACACTTGCTGTTACGAGACATACACATGAATTTTCATTAGAGCGTTTCGGAATTTATCAATTTTTCATTATTTAAATTGGTTTGTGACACGCAGTTCTTAATTTAAGATCTTTTTAGTTCAAATACAAAAATAAAAAAAAGTGACTTATTTTAAGTAAAAAAATCAAGGATATAAATTATACAGTTTTCACTTCGTAAGGTTAATATGAAGTGATTATTCATGAAAGAAAGAACTCTTAACAATGCAATTTTATTAACAATGTGTTGAAATATAATACTAATGATAAATGATAATAACAAATATGTTTTATTTGTTTAATCAAGAAGCATTTGTGGTCTAAGGGCAGAATTCCACCCTTCCAAGGTGGAGATCCGGGTTCGAGTCCCGGCAAATGCATTTTTTGTTTTTTCAATTTTTAATTTTAATTTTTTAATTCTAAAAAAATTAAAAAATAAAAACGACAACGGCAGGATTTGAACCTACGCCTCAAATGAGAAATGATTTCGAGTCATACGCCTTGGACCACTCGGCCACGTTGTCTTGATATAATTATAATATCACTGTATTTGTTATTTTCATGCACAACCGATTCAATTAAAATAGTTTGAATTAATTATTCAATATCTGAATTACAACTTGAACAAAAAACTAAAAATTACAATGAGTTTACGATACGATTGGTATCAGTCCAGGGACTTTGTCACCATCGACCTTTTTATTAAAACGACCAAAGAAAACATCGCAGTGAGTTTCAACGAGAAGGACGTTGTAATAACTGTCAAGAATAATGACAAAGACATCGTACAAACCTTTATGAATTTGTATGGGTCATACCAACCAACGCTTTCGACTTTCACTGTCGGCCGAGTGAAAGTCGAAATCAAATTGAAAAAGAGTGACAATTCGAATTGGGACAACTTAACTCAAGACGCAATACAGCATCACCCAACAGTAGTGACAAAAGACTGGGACGCTGTTAACAAACAGTTAGATGAAGAGCTTAAGACGGACCCCAAAAATGAGAGTCCCGAGGATTTTTTTAAACAGCTCTATTCCAATGCAACCCCGGAACAACAACGAGCAATGAACAAAAGTTATCAACAGAGTGGAGGGACATCATTGAGTACCAATTGGGGGGATATTGGGAAAAAGGATTTAAAGTGTGAGCCTTTAGAAGGTGCTGAAGTGAAACAATGGGGAAAGGATTAATTCAGAACGCTTCTTAATGCATTTTTGAAGGACTTTTTCTATTCGTACGTCTTAGACCAATTAGTAAGAAATAATAATTTAACACTTTGCATCAAGACGTCACTCTTTGCTGCCTTCCATCTTCTGAACTTCCTTTTTTAAGTCATCAACAAGTTGAAGAAGACTCTTCTGTGAATTCTCCATGTCAAGAACACGTTGTTTAAGTTCCTCATTTTGCGCGATTAAGTCATCAAACACTTTTCGACTCACAAGCACTTGTTCTGAGACTTCGACTACTTTTTCAAGCTGATTTGTGAACTGAGTAGGACTTGGAGTGTTCGCTGTTTTCTCTTTACCCTCATTAAGAGTTGAAGGAGCTGTCGCTTTCCATTGTTTGGCAATTGGTTTGGCCACTGGGATGTCTTGTTGAGGAATAGTTTGAGCACCAGAAAGTGCTTTTAGCATTGGTTCATCGACATGAGGTGTTACTTTCTTCCCAAAGGTCCCTCTTTTTTTGGTATCAAATATACTCATTCGCATCACTGGAGTAGGTTTGTGCTGGATTGGTTCGATTAATATTTCTTGTTCTACCTTTTCAGCTAAAGTTTGGTTGAAGTCGACTGTCACTGCTGGACTGGTTTCTCCGCTACTCTTCCTTTCAAACTCTTGTTTACTTGTGTCTTGTATTTGCGGAGATAACGAAGTTTCCTTCTTGGTATACTGCAAACAGTCTGAAGACTTCTGTGACTCCTCTCCGATCAATTTCATTTGTTCCAAATTTGAACGCAAGTCGTCGCAACTGGAACGTTTGTAATTTTGGTAATTTTTCCTGCCAAAGGCCTTTCGAATGAACTCGCGTTGCTCCACTTTTTTCTTCTCTTTAAACTTTTCCTCTCGGAGTTGTTTTTCTTCGGTGTCTTTTTTTGTTCGATTTTCTTCTCGTGTTTTTGTCTCTGTGCGGAGGCGTTCCATTGCCTCCAAGTAATCTTTTCGTTTCGGCTTTGAGAATTTATTGATAGCACAAAATGAGAGTTCTGCGTCTTGAATGACGTCTCCTCGTTTCAATTGAAGTGTATTGTCTTGTTTCTGTGCTATTTTCCAGAAGTCATGTTCGACAAATTCATAATTGTTTGTGTTCTTCTGCGTTTTAGTGATCACAACTATTTCTTCGCCATCTTCAACTTCACTAATGTACTTTGTAGGGACATATCCAACTCTTTCACATAAAGTCTCCTCTTTGTTCTCATCAACTTTGTAACTCTTTTGGTCGATAATTTTCACTAAACTCCACTTCTCTCGTTGTAATAAAATCACAACAAATTGGTTGTTAGTTACAGATAACTCTCCATTCCCATTTGGTTCAAAATCTTTCATAATAAATCCAGTGCTTTCCTCAATCTTAAAATCATCTTCATTGAGCCACGTGAGATATGAAAATGGAAAGATAAATTTCCGATAATCATTCTTCTCAAACTCTATTTTACAGATCGCCCATGAACCTAATACCCTTTCAACATATACTATATCTCCAGTTTTGGCACATAAGTGGAATCGTGAGTCATCAACATAGTCATATAACACTATCCCATAACTCTCAACTTGGTCGTCATACATGTACTTCTCAAAGATAACATAACTTGAAGGGATGTACCCCCACCCATTAAATTGGTGACGAACGTACACCCACTTCGAGTCGCCAGAAAAACAGATCATCTCGTCGTCTTCCAAAAATGAAATTTCCTTCTCGCTGTTTTTGATGTAGTCGTATCGTGCAATACATCGACATGGTAAAATCGTTGGTTGTTGGTCTGTAATATTAATATTAAATTGAGAAGAAGTTATAGAAATAGAACAAACAAGCTAATGTCATCATATTTGCTCGAGTTACTTTGGGCTTCTTCTGTGGCTCTTTCACTATTTTCTGTAGTAAATTAGTGGGGACATATCCATAATAAAACCCTCTTGAACAATAAGACCATCCATCATCTGTTATGTCATATACAGTTACAACATCCCCTTCAAATACCCACAAACACTCAACATTTGGTGGTTGGTACTTTTCAATAACTCGTGCTCTGTTATTGAGAATTTGAATCTTATTATTGTTATTATTAAGAACAGAAATATATCGACACCTATTTATATATGAAATTGGTATTATTAATACTTACAAACTGGAAAAGAGGAGGGTCTGCAAAAGTCGCTAAAGAGACATGAAAGAGTCCAAATGTGCCATTCAAATTGCCACTCCATACTCCATCAGAGTTAACAGTACGTACCGTGATCTCATCACCTTTCCTAAACGAAAGCGTCTCAGGGTATTCCGCCTGGTAATCAACACACCCAACAACTTTCATTGTCTGCGGTCTTCTTTTTATGTTCGAACTCAATATTTTCTTTTCTTGTGACAGAAAGTATAGTTCTTCTTAATTTTGATATAATAATAATTCAATTATTGTCCAATGTTGTTTGATTATAATAGAATAGAAAAACTGTTGTGAATTCGTATAAAAATAAAGTTGCTGTTTTTTAAAAATAAAATAAATTGGATTGTTTTTTTGATGATTATTTATTAAGTTTATTATAGTTTGTTTTAGTATTTCAATTTTTAATACATTTTTATAGTTAATTAATGGAATTATTACTATTATTTTTTTTTGTTGGTAAATTACTTTTGATGAAAATAAAAAAAATTGACGATAAAATTAAAGTTAACTATTTTATGTTTTTTCTATTTTTTAAAACTACTAAAAAGGATATTTTCGGGTTTTAAAATAAATTTTAATATTATTAAAAAATGTATTTGTAATTTAATATTTAAAAATCATCCCTTACAAAATAGAAAATAGAAATAAAGAAAAGTTCTCTAAAAAAAAAAGACAAAAAACTAAAAATAAATTCTATATTTTACTATAAAATATTTATTTTTTGAATTATTTATTTTAGAATAAAAAAACGACAAAAAAGTCATGTTATTTCCCTATTTTCCTTTGATTCGAAAATGACAAAAAATCTTAGACAAAAAATCTTTCATTTAGAGTAAACAAATACACTTAAAAAAGTATTGCATATCAAGAAAATAACACAGTAAAAAGTGTTTTAGATGTGTGAAAGGCAGGCTTTGATTTGATTTGCGAAGACAGGTGAGACATCGCATATGATGAACTTCTTTGAGTTCTGTATCTTAGGCAATTGTGTTCTCACACTAGTATTAGTAGCAATGACCTTATCGAGTCTTGAGTCAATAACAGATTGAATGACAACTTCATCAATAAGACACAAATGAGTCAACACAGCAGTCACTTTTTTAGCACCATTGTCCAAATAAGCGTTACACGCCTTAATTAATGTTCCAGCCGTTCTTGTCATGTCATCGTAAATGATCACATGCTTTCCTTTAACGTCACCTATAGGTTCTCCAACAACATGTGTATCTTCAAACGATCGACTCTTTCGAATGAAAGCCATTCCGACATTGAATTTGTTAGCAAAGGTTTCAACCCAAAGGGGTCGTCCCAAATCGGCCGAGCCAAATATGCAAGGCTCATTGAAGTCAATGTTTTGAGCTATGGTAGCTTCTAAGACGGGTTCCGCATATAACTCCATAGCCTGTACGGTACCCTCGAAGTAATGAATAATACCACTTGTGTGAAGGTCCATCAACATAAAGAGATTACCAAGTCCAGAAGAGGGAATACCACATAACATCCTTACCGTCGATTTACATGTAACTACTTCGCCAGGTTTAACAGCTCTTTCCATAGTGGAGTACATCAAATATGGAATCACAAAGATTCTTCGTTTGGTGCCTAATTCGGAAAGTTCTCCACCTATTCTAACAACTTCTAATAACTCCATGTCATCAACTATTGAAGATACAATCACTACATTACGCCCAACTAATGAAGTTCTCTCGGGGATGTTAATACGGTAATACGACTCACCATCTTGGAATTTTTTGTAGATAATTGGAATGACTGGATAACCAGTGAGGTTGTGAATGCTTTGTCCAAGATATTCAGACTTCGAGGTGTGAACTATAAAAGTTTCTGTCGAGACAAATGCTTCGGGAGGAATAGGACTCGTTGTATTCGCAAGCATATTGAATGAATATTTTGGTTTTTTTTTCTTTGTCTTATACACAATCAACGTGGGCGTGACTCGAGTGGTCTATGGAAATCGGATGTTTTAGAGGTAAAATGTGTGTAAATAATTAATTGTTTTATGCCGATATATATTTGAGGTGTGTAAGAATTATAATTTAAAAATGATTAGTTTTTAAGAAATAAAACTAAAATTATAATAATTTTGATTTTTAGGAAATTAAAAAACATTGAAAAAAAGAATTATTTTTTTATTAAAAAAATTAAATAATAAAAATACACAAAGTAATATTTTTTTGTCATTTTTACAATTATTTTTTTTCATTTTTAAGTTTAACATTTTCTTTAATTTTAATTAAATATTTAATTTAATTGTATTTTAAGGTAAACTACACAAAACATTTATGAGCCCACAAAAATAAAATTAACAAAATTGTTTTTTTTAATACTTTTTCAACATCAAAAATTTAAAAAAATGACTTTTTAAATCTTAGTCATTTTAAGTGTTTTTTTAAAGAAACAAAATGAAAAAATGTAAATTGTAAACTTTGCTAACTTATACAAATATTTTCTGAACATCAGTAAATTGGTGTGATTTTTTTTGCTACTAATGTCCAACTTGTTAGAATGTTGTTTAGTTGCCCTTGAGATAAAAATTATTTTTCTAAAGTTTACTTTACAACTGTTGATGTTGACAAAGCCAACATCAACAGTTGGCTTTGTCCTTTTTTTCAAAAATTTGAAGTTTTTCAAAGATATGAAGTACAAAAGATGCCTACATTTTTTACTTAGTGAATAAAAAAAGTCGTATACATTGAAAATATAAATAAGCAAAAATAACAAAGATAATAAAGGATTATTTATTTATTATATTTTAGATAATACAAATAAAAGGTTCTAAACTATTATTTGTTTTTATAAATTTAGAATAACTGTTTTAATAATTAAATGACAAAACAAATTGATTGATTTTTTTGTTGACTTTCCAACCTTTTTATAAATGAAATAATCAATCAAATATTTTTTTTAAATTATGTTACAATTATATCTTCATTTTTTTTACAAGGTTTCATTTATGTTTTTTTGCTTGAAACATCTTTTCTTTTGGAGATTTCATTTTATTTGGTATCTTGTCTTTTTATAATTATCCATTCTCCACATTGTAAAAAACACAATAAATTAAAAAATAGAAATATTAACTTATGTTGAATTACAATGACATGCTACTTAAGCTGGTAGATCTAAAATAACAAAGATAATTAAATAACACAATACACATCCGCGTTATCACATTAACCAAATTGTTACACCCATAAAAACATTTATCACCAAATGATAAAACAGTCAAAGGTAATGTGATACTGCTAAGATTTGTACACTCATAAAAACAATATTCCCCAAGTGAAGTAACATTCGATGGAATAACAACATTATTCAAAGCTGAACAACAACCAAAACAATATTCCCCAAGTGATGTGACACTTGGTGGAATAACATTGCCAAATTGTTGCCTGTCAATTTTAGTGTACGTCACATTTCTGAATATGATATTTTTATAGTTATTGTTCACAGTACTATAATCTACATTGAACCACACAATAACTCGATAGAAGTCCATTTTCTTTTCATCTTTGTTATTCTTGTTGATATCTCTATGAAATCCAAAGTTTAAGGGCCTGAGAAAAAGTCCATTACCAAAATTTTCATCTTCTTCATTCCACAAGTGAAGTGTTTCGATGTTAGGGAAATAACTAACTGTTTTGTAAGTCAGTGGAATTGGGTTAAAATGGAATTTCTCCATATTGCTTTTAAATTTGTTGCAGACATGTTCCAATTTAATAAAATCTTCAATTGTATTGAAGTATTTTGAAACTATCATAATGTGATAACCTGATAGTCTTGACATGTTTAATTAATAAGATGATATTTACGGCATTTATAATATTGTTAATGTAATTAAAGACATTAAAACAATAGTTTTTGATTCCGAAAATGTTTATTGGTGAATGAAATATGTTCACTTTGTAAAATGTTTTATAATTAATTATGAAAATAATTAATAACACATAAAATATCCAATTGTGATTAATATGACTAAACCATTCTTTTTATAACTTGATATAATTGCTGCTATAAACGTGAACACTAAACACATGATGATTGTAATATAAATTTTTATTAATTCAAAAACAACACTTTAACGTTATAAAGTGATCACTTTCAAAAATCACAAAATAAAAAAAGTTAACATTTTATTTATTTCAGTTCAAAAAAAACAAAATTTGTTTTCTTTAGAAAGTCAAAAATATAATTTATAACAATCATTAATATATTAATAAATTAATCCCTTAAAATAATTACAAAACGAATATTTTATCAAAAAAACAACATAAAGAATGGGGAGAAAGTAACACCAAGGGAGAAAGCCACACC